GGGGTGTGTGTGTGTGCGTGTGTACAAGTACTGTGGGCCAACTTTTGCGTCTTCTCTCATCATTCATTGAGTGAGAATAGTTTTGTTACCTTTGAACTTGGCCTCTGATGGCAGGACAGGCTCAAATGGGGTGTAGGGGTAGAGTGTGAAGGGGTCTCCCAGGGAGTTGAACGGGTCCAACACGCTGCTGGTGGAGTAGTTGTGGCGGAAAGCCTCCGAGGGGAACGGTGTCTCGGCGGGGCCCAGCACCTCGTCACTCTCTGGTTCAGGCTCCGGGCCCTCGTACTTGAGTGGGACAAAACCTGGGGGGAAGGCGGTGGGGGCGGGCTCCTCTCTGGCAGTCACGGGGGGTATCTGGAGGCGCGACCTCAGCGTGGCCAGCACAGTGTCAAGGACAGACTCGGTGGAGCTGAGGTAGTTGAGGAAGAAATGTCTGCCTTGTAGGCGCAGGGAGGACACAGCCTCGTCCGGGAATGACTGAAGGAAGAACGGGATTTCTGTGACGCGCGGGGTGGGGAGGACAACTGCCGCAGACTCCCACCGTAAAACTTCTGCAAAGGGAAGTAATCCATGCGAGCCAAGAATGACGGGAATAGCACCGTAGTTGAGGGCCTCGTAGAGGCGGGTCTGAAAGGCCAAGGTCGACTCTAACGAAGCGTTGAGGGGAAGGAGGATGAGGGAAAAAGTGGAGCCAATGGTACGGTCGCGTCGGGCCGAGGCGGAATCACACAGTGACCAGTCGGCCGGAGTGGTCAGAGCACGGCCAAACTGGCCACAGGACAGGTCCACGTCCACACTGCCCTGGTAGCTTACCTGGAAACTTTTCAGCGAGGCCACAATGGCCTGTTCTATGTGGGAGAAGTAGGTCTGAGAGGACAATAGCGAGGAGTCGATGGCGGACAGAGGGCGGCGGCCCGCCACTTTCCCTCCCCTAGGGGAATTGTCTGGGAAGTCGTGAGGCTGGAGTCTGTGGTCGCTGGGCGGGTGCTGTGAGTGGAGGGGAGAGTACTCCCCCAGGTAGGACAGCAGTAGCTTCCTCCTCACCGGGGAGATCTGGGGCAGGTGACGCCACATGCCCTCGCGCACGCTGGGGCCAAAGTTGGGGGGAATGACCAGGTCAAAGCCAGGCCGGTACGCTGTGTCCGTGAAGAAGGGCTGAGCCACCATTGCCCGGCCTGTGGCCACGCCCGTCAGGAGGTCGGCGGTGGCCAGGGAGGAGGCGAGGGTGAGGAGGAGGTGGTTCCTCCCATCCCCCGCCCAGTGGGGCAGACCCAGCAACATGTCCTCCACATCCCCCGCGGACGGGGGGGCTGACCCCGCGCTCGTCTCCCCCAGCACCAGCACAAACAGGCAAGCGCTGGCCGCGTCCTCCGTGCGGTAACTGCTGCGGGACAGGTAACTCAGCACGGCCGAGGCCACGCCCGGCGTCACAGGGTGGCCAGGTAAGGCGTAGCGGTGAGGGTCATAGAGGAACACGGGGAAGCCAGAGACCAGCGAGCAGCGCGAAAAGTCAAAGCAAGACTCCATGCGGCAGTGGTGGGCGGAGCCTGGCATGTCCAGTGGCTCCTGGGGGTCCACGGTGCGCAGGATGCGGTGGGGGGCGCGGATGTTGGGCGCGTGGAGGCGCCGCTCCTCCTGCTCAAAGCGGATGTGTTCTAGCGACACGCGGATCTGACTCACCTCCTTGTTCAACACACCGTGCTCCGCTTTGAGCGCGTCAATCTTGCCAGCGTAGTCTGTGATGTCCGCCTGTAGGTGGAGCCGGCGGTTCTCCAACTGTCGCAGCTCGTTGCTCACCGAGGCTTTGATCCGGCGCAGTTCTTCTATCTCCTGCTGCCGGGAACCCGAGGCTGGCCGCGCGTGGGGGAGCTCCGAGTCAGGGTCGCCAGGTAGGCCATCGATCAGTCTAGTGCGGTGTGGGTCTGGCTGGAAGTCGCCAGCCGTGCTTAGATTGGCCAGGTAATGGTGGATGACGAGAGAAAGCGAGACGGCCAGTGCCAGGAGCAACAGCAGGAACTTGAGCAAGGTCAAGTTGTGCGCCAGGAACTGGCCGCTGCGAGAAGGGACTTTACACATCTTCATCTTTCTCTCCGGGGGCCCTTCTTCTCGATCTTCCCCTTACCACATCCTTCTTCTTCTGTCACTTTCATGAGACATGTTTTCCTTTCTTCACATACTCTGTCTTCTCCTTGTTCCTCTCAGCACATTGTTAGTGTCCAGTGGCAGCACACACAGGGCAGTCAGCCCCCGGGCAGACAGAACCAGCAGTCCAGCATCTCGCTCACCTCTCCCATCAGCTCACAGGGGACTCACCGCCACACCCCCATCAGCTGACAGCCATTCACGGCACCACTCACGGCACAGCGACTCACGGCACAGCGACTCACGGCACAGCCACTCACGGCACAGCCACTCACGGCCACACCCCCATCAGCTGACAGCGACTCAGGGCACAGCGACTCACGGCCACACCCTCACCTGGCAGATGAAAGCACAAACAGTTACAAGGAGGAAAACTTGACTTCTTTTGTTTGCTCAGCTAGACAACCGCACACAGTGGGCACTGTCGGATCAACGTCCCTTTCAACACTCACTGTTGGTGTTTTGTTTAGTAAGAGTATTACAGTACTTGCAACACATCAGGTCAAATAAGGGCTGAACATTAGAGGTGTTACAAGAGAGTAACATTAGAGGTGTTACAAGAGAGTAACATTAGAGGTGTTACAAGAGAGTAACATTAGAGGTGTTACAAGAGAGTAACATTAGAGGGGTTACAAGAGAGTAACATTAGAGGGGTTACAAGAGAGTAACATTAGAGGTGTTACAAGAGAGTAACATTAGAGGTGTTACAAGAGAGTAACATTAGAGGTGTTACAAGAGAGTAACATTAGAGGTGTTACAAGAGAGTAACATACACAAAAAAGGAGGAGAGGTCAGGACGACAAATGTTTGATAAGAAAGAAGGAGCAAACCACACAAGAGCACCAGCCAACCACCCGCTTCAACGCTGTACAATCAAGCACAAACATTCACATGAGAAAAGACAGAAGTGCCCCCCCCCCCCCCACATCTCACGAGTCTGAGTTAAAAGAAGCACGCTTACAGCCACAAACACACAACACAACCACCACAATGCTAATTTTCTGTGAGGAAAGAGACAGACAGAAATGACAAAGGGAAAGAGAAGAAGTAGGACCTACCAGTGGCACCCTCCGACCACCCATTCTCCTCACTGACACCAACACATTTTTTCTTTCTGACTGCAATTCAAAAAATACAATTTCTACTGAAATGTAGTAGGCTACAAATGTATCCATCATGGAAATAAATTTCTTATCCAAATACATGTGCGGCAAAAAGGCACAGTTGTGCATGAAATAGTGATACATAATGTGGGAGCCTGTTAGGCCATTCATGCCTGCCTTGAGCCACTTGCAAAATGCAACCCTAGCTAGGGAACGGGCGTTATTTCATCAGCCAACTCAGCAGTTGCTGCAACAAAAGGTCAAAACCATTGGGGTCACCTGTCATCCGTGGAAATAAAAATTGAGCAAACTTCCACTTACATCCCACTCTAGAACACAGGAGAAAGGTCAGGGGGTCAGAGGTCACATAGTAAACTACAGACAGCATACACTAGCAACAATCAAAAAGAAACAAACCGTCACGAACTTGAATGGAAGGGACTTGTCAGTTCCCATGGTCCAGTAGTAGAGTTACCTAAGGAGACAGAGCGACATTGCCAGTCTCTCACCATGTTGTTGCAACAACGTCTCAGCTAAACAGAGCTCTTTCTTACAATGTCTGAGCTAAACAGAGCTCTTTCTTACAACAACGTCTGAGCTAAACAGAGCTATTTCTTACAACGTCTGAGCTAAACAGAGCTCTTTCTAACAACAACGTCTGAGCTAAACTGAGCTCTTTCTTGCAACAACGTCTAAGCTAAACAGAGCTCTTTCTAACAACGTCTGAGCTAAACATAGCTCTTTCTTACAACAACGTCTGAGCTAAACAGAGCTCTTTCTTACAACAACGTCTGAGCTAAACAGAGCTCTTTCTTACAACGTCTGAGCTAAACAGAGCTCTTTCTTACTATGTCTGAGCTAAACAGAGCTCTTTCTTGCAACGTCTAAGCTAAACACAGAGCTCTTTCTTGCAATGTCTGAGCAAAACAGAGCTCTTTCTTTACCAATCTTAACCCTCCCAGCCCATTAAGTGACCCAAAAAGGGAACATCTTGACAAATTGTTTTCCTCAGCAACAAGGCTAGCCAATGGTGGGAGCTGCCACTGTAGTCTTCATTCATTGTATTAGTCTTTATTAGACATGGGTTCATGAATTCGAAACTTGGTGGCTAAATGGTGTCTACTTACACTTTTACTACCCTTTTATTGTCCGTCGTGACCCAAAAATAGATCAGACATTTAATAAGAAAAAAGGAAGGACATCCGTAACAAGCAGCTACCCCAACACACAATAAAGAAGAGACCTAACCTGAACCCAAACTAAACCCTAACCCTACCCTTACCCTCTATTCTACGCTGTCTCATAGTGGTCGCTCGTTACTGGTCCTTCTGGAAAAAATGTCGAGACCCAAAAGTAGACCAGACGTTATATAGAATCTATATGAAAAAAAATGGAGTCTGCCATTTTAGAGTCATACTATATATTTTGAAGCAAAACTCAATTTTATAATAAAAATCAGTACCTTGTAAGAAAATTAAAACAAACAAAAGACAAACATAAATTGGTTTCTTCAGAGACTATTGAGAATGAAATAGAGGGAAATGAAAAGAGGCAATGGAGAAAAAAGCCCATCATGTGGGCCATACAGTGTAGTATAGATTAATATAAAGGAAGAGACAATGCCGCTTCTGCAACAGGCGCTCGTCAATTTTTAAGCATCATCTGGAGCTAATGGTCATCTTAAAGCTTGTTCATTTGTTTTGCATTCGATGGAAAAACACCCATGTACCTAACTTGAATAGAAGTCAAGACATTTTCGATTGAAGAAGATGGGTCACCTGGTTTCAGAGGTAAAATTTATAATCGAGAAAATGGCCGAGAAAGTTTGGTTGTAACTCTAGATCTACATATATTATAGATCTATAGACCTAGGCCTAGATCTATATATTCTTATTAGTAGCCTCAACTAGATTTAGTACTAGATTCTAGATCTTGTCTGAATCTGCTACAAGATTTAGTTTTAGTGTACAAAAGTAGGCTACAAAAGTACAAGTCTTGCTTAAATTTTAAATATCTAGATCTAGATCTAGATCTAAATCTAGATCTAGTCTAGATCTAGATAAATCTAGTAGAGTCTAGTCTAGATTCTAGAACTGGACTCTAACTCTAGAGCGGTGAATCCAGATCTTGATTAGATAGCGGTCGAGTGACTAGTGTACAAAGCTCGACTGATACGACTGCGAATGACAATGAACAATAAGTGACACGTCTAACTGCACTCCACTGATGTGAGTTCAGAGTGAGTAACCCCTGGCTCGGCTCTTCTTTCGGAGTCAATTCAAATTTTGATACTGAGAAAAAACCCTCAAAAACAAAAAGTTATTTTCCAAGAATGGACATGATGTAAAATAATGTCACTAACTTACAAAAACAAGTAGATCTTGTCTCCGTATGAATTCCATCAACAGATTTTCAGGCTACTTTTAAAGACCACTAAATTCATAACGAGAGATCTAGCAGAAGACTTGTTTTATCTCTTTTTCTGGAGTTTTATCTGGATGATCAAATCAACCGGCCAGTTGTGACAGCAGCTTCCGTCATTTCCGAACCCTGACGCCAAAGCATATATGTTTTGTTTTCAGAAAGATTAGGCCTTATACTTTCCTCTCAAAGTAGCTTTTTTATTCTTGAAAAGAGTTTTTCTTGAAATCACAATCCGCACTCCTATAAATAAATAAACCAATAGGCTACAAGTTTGAATAAAAATGAGTTCGTGATAAGAAACTGTCGCTGGCTGCTGACATCACGTCAACAATCAATGTTGTCTGCAGGATTGAGTGGCTATTGTGACGTCAGTGGAAACCTTTTCCTATAGGACTGCGGGAAACCTATGAGTGTTTCAAGAATATAACATTCCTCTTTTTTAAGGGGGGGGGGGGGGGGGGGGGCATCACAATGATTTAAAACGAGTCATGAAAACTATTCTTATACTTGTAGTCCAAAGCATTATTGCTTCGTTTGTCAAATTCCCATTTTCTTTCCTCACACAAAATCTTTGCGCCCTACGTCTCTTATAGATCTAGATCTAGATCTAGATCTAAATCTAGATCTAAAGATCAGAAACACATATTTTGAAAGCACAACTAGTCTACATTAACTTGGCCTTTATTAAGAACATTCCAAAAGCAAACTGATTTTCCATTTCAAAGTGGATTTCAGACAGAAAATTATTATAGCTTTATAAACTTTATTAGGCCTATTAACACCAACAGATAGGCCACCCCTTGCTACTGACAGTCAGTCAATTAGTTCGTTCACTCCACACACCAAATTCAAGAACGGAACCTCTACCATGTTTGCAAGATGGCGACTGTTCAACAGACGTTGAGCGTCATTCAAAATACGCAATTTTGTAATTATTTTTAATGCTGATGTCTTTGTCAGTTCATTTTTTACTGAACTGTAGATCTAGATTTATATAAAAACCCTATAGTCGGTAGGGTGAAAACGTTTCAGCCAGTGTTCAGTGTGAGTAATGACTGAAGATGCTGTTGACACTGACACAACTTACTGACAAACTTGCACACACGAACAACAAAAACAGTTCTTTGTAAAAAGACGCAAGAAGAGACACTCTAGATCTAGAAATCTAGATTTTTCTAGATCTAGATCTAGACCTAAAAAAATAAGGTGGGGGGGTTTCAGGGAGGCATGCCCCCCAGATTTTACCATAATTTGATGAGGAAGATTGAAGAATACCGGGGGGGGGGGGGGGGGGGAATCACATGCGATTAAACGTAGAAAGACGCAAACTATTTTTAGGTAAGGCGCCCATCTTGTTTGACGTCATACCAGGATACCCCTCCGATCACGTGACTACATCTAGTATACCCAACCGCATGGCACCAAAGATGGAAGTGTCTTCTATGTCATGTAAAATATAGATCTATATAGAGATATCTAACAGTGGTTTTCAAACTTTTTTCGCCCACCGCCCCCTTTTTCACCCAGCCGAGTCCCAGCGCCCCCTACTCCGCCCCAACCATCAATCTGACATAATGACATGCATAATATATATAACAATCACAAATAAAGAGAGAGCTCAAACAGCAGTGTAGAAAGTAACGTGCCTCTAAATTCTACTAATTTAGTTCTGAATATTAGTTGGGTCACAAATCACCATCTTTACAGTCTTAAATTAAGCGTGGACGAGAGATAATAAAGCACATTTTAATTCAATCTTATGCAAGGGCATTGAGAGCATAATACTGTCATTTTATGCATATAGTTGTCATCGTACTAAACGACCAGTGTTATTAATATCAATAAAAATAAAACATGTATTATCACATTTACAGAAGCAAAACGCCAAAAACTAAACACATAAATAAAAACGCCCGTGATCATTGTTTTGAAAACAGATTGACATTATCTTTATGAAACGTTTTCTCCCATCAACGTGCTGCAATGTAGTGGCCTGAGATTTGTATCAAATATCTCCATTGCAGAAAATAAAAACGTTATTAAGTTGTTCAAATGTGAGAAACCACACGAAAGAAAAAGTATGCATGGATCTTAGTCTGTAATTATCCCCATCATCGTCATCATCATCATCATCATCATCATCATCATCATCATCATCATCATCATCATCAACATCATCATCATCGTCATCAACATCATCATCAGTTTCATCAGCAATGGCAACTCTGTTAAACAAGTGAATGTTTTGCTTTTTTTAAAAATGAAGAAAAGAAAAGAAAAAAAAAAAAGAAAAGACACATTGAGATATCAAGTAAGGGTAAACTACGGAGTAAGCCTGCGCAAATAAGTTATGGACACTACCCTAATGGGAAGGAAGGACCTGCTAAGACGGAACCAACTTATCAACATCAGGTTTCAGATTGGTCAGTAGCCGACGCAAATCGCTACGCTTCGTCAGCAAACTTGTCACTGCACTGAATCCCCTTTCTACTAGATAGGAGGCGGGAAAAGAGATGAACAACTTGATCTTTTCCCACTTTGAGGGGCATTTGTCTTGCACAATAGTTTTCAACCAGAATGACTGGTACGGCTTTTTGAACAATGGTTTGATTTCAAAGTCACATTTCATCGTCAGAAGCTCTTCTTCAATTGCTACTAGCAAGTTATCATCTGTTTCAGTGTTCAATGGGTCCAGTATCCAGCATGGAATTTCCAGTTTAAAAATATCAGGAGGCTAAACCTTGTCTTCATATCAGCATGCAAATCTCTGAAGTGGTTGCTATATATATTTGTAGTTCCTCGTCAGAAATGCGCCCTTCTTTCAGTGTCTCCGCCAAGCTAGGAAACTGAGAAATTTTCTTCTGCCAATGTTTCGGCGGATCATTTCCAGTTTCAACAAGAATGACGAAAGCCTTGATCAGATTGGTGTCATCCCCCTGCAGCTGAAAGTTGAACTGGTTGAACTTTGTAAAAAGATCTGTGAGGAGCGCAATGTTGTTCTTGTGTTCTTTCAGTCTATTGCAGACATCACTGTCTGTTTCTTGAAAAAAACAAAACCAACTTCAGCACAGAGTCAAACAGGCAGAACAATAATCGTGTTCAATAGTTTCCTTTCGAGAGCCACCAGACTTCAGTGTGCAAAAGTAAGCATTGAAAGTACTCGTTCAACAGTTTCCTTTCGAGAGCCACCAGACTTCAGTGTGCAAAAGTAAGCATTGAAAGTAGGCCTACTCGTTCAACAGTTTCCTTTCGAGAGCCACCAGACTTCAGTGTGCAAAAGTAAGCATTGAAAGTACTCGTTCAACAGTTTCCTTTCGAGAGCCACCAGACTTCAGTGTGCAAAAGTAAGCATTGAAAGTACTCGCCATTTTCTGTGCGCAGCTGTTGAAATAGTCTCGAGTTCAAAGTGAGGGCTTTGATCTTGTTCACACACTTGAAGGCAATGGCCAGTGTGTCATGCAGACTTTCATTCAGGTTTTTTTTGCCACCAAATTCTGTCTGTGAATGACACAGTAGACAGTAAATACTCCATGGACTGATTTCTTCAAAAAGTTCATAAATCCACGTTTCCGACCTGCCATCGACGGTGCCCCATCTGTTGCACAGGCAACTGTATTGGTCAGAGGGATCTGTTTCTCCTCGAAAAATTCTTGGACCACTTTGAAAATGGACTCGCCTTTGGTATCTGTTTCCAACATTTTCGCAAATAACAATTCTTGCATTATTTCCTCACCCTCTATGAACTGATATCCAGTTAAAGGCTGAGCTCATGTCCTTTCAGCATTTTGCACTGTGATTTCTCAACATTTGCTGACATCTCATCAATACGTCTTTGAATGGTATTGTCACTTAGTGGGAGAACTTTCAACACAGGCTCCGGGGCACGTTGCGGGACTGTGTTGACCACCTCTCTTGTCGCAGGCATGAGATTCTCACCAATAGCATGGTTTTTGCCTGTCTTTGTAATAAGCAGAGATAAATTATATGTTGCTCGTAAGCCTAGATCAGCTTGATCGACGTTGGCTGCAAACATCGGTTTAAAGGATTTTCATTTCTGAAAATTGATCTTTAGAGTTTTGAAGTATGCCAGATCTTTGTCAGATTTGTCTTGACGAATCTTATTTATATGGGATTTGCAGGCAGGGAACGAAAGTTTTTAGTTATAAGTACATGTAGTATTGTAAACTATGCCTAAACTATCTATTTTTGTTTTTGTTTTTGTTTTTGTTTTTTATGTGGCTTTTTTCTCTTCATCACGTTTTATGTTGCATGTCATGAAAATTTCATACCGCCCCCTTAGCGCCCACCAGCGCCCCCCAATCGCCCAGTTTCGCCACAGCGCCCCCCAATCGCCCAGTTTCGCCACAGCGCCCCCCAATCGCCCAGTTTCGCCACAGCGCCCCCCAATCGCCCAGTTTCGCCACAGCGCCCCCAAACTCTCGCCACCGCCACGGTAGCGCCCACTTTGAAAACCACTGATCTAGAATCTAGATATATATATATAATATCAATGGCCACCTCTATTCTCACCCAGGGTGAGAATAGTGCAGGCGAGTCTTTTGGCTATTCTCACCCGGTGCGCGTTCACCGTTATAGCCTAGATCTAGGCCAACAAATTTTGCGTTCACCCTTAACAACAGAATTCTACACTGTGATAACAGAAAAATTGTAGAGTTCTGTGCCGTGAACATTGTTCCATTAGAACTGTAGCCTCTAAAAGCGTACAATTTTGTCTGTGGGCAGTGGAGAGAGAAAGAGAGAGAGAGGAGTAGCGCAAGAACTTCCGGTCAAAACAAAATGGCGACCCGCGTAGTTCGGCTCGATTCGAAAAGTTAAATAGCCGTAGCATCTTTGTAGACAACCAAATTAATTTACTTTTGTGTTTTAACATCATTTTTTAACTTTGTTTTGGTCAATTTGATCGTCCACACCGATAAACAGTATTCAGAAAGAGACAGAGAGAGAGAGAGGGGAGGAGTAGATCTTGCGAGAACTTCCGGGCAAAACAAAATGGCGACCCGCGTAGTTCGGCTCGATTCGAACAGTGAAATAGCCATAGAACATCTTTGAAGACGATCAAATTAGCTTACTTTTGTGCTATAACGTAATTTTTTCTTGGCTTTTATCAATTTGATCCTCCACATCGATAGAAAGTATTCCGAAATTAGGAAAAACAGGTCTTGTTTCAAACCAGGTGAAAATAGCCTACGGTCGCAAGTCTCACCCGGGGTGAGAGGTCGATCGTATTTCTATTCTCACCCCGGATGAGAATAGCCACTTCCAATATCAATGTCTTGCTTAATGTAAACCTCTCTGTCGGAAATTCTGATTGCTGAACAGACAGCGCGTCTGCGTTGGAAGTCGTTCAATGATTTTTGGAGCGGTTCGATCCCGGTCCCGGACAGTTTTGTTTGTTTTCTCTTCTCCTCCTGGCGACTGATCAACAGTCGCATAAATTATAATTTGTAGAGCTGCTTTGAAGTTTTTTGTTTTTTTAAAAATATATTATTAGATAAGAAAAGTGATTAAAAATGCAGGAGAGGGAGGGGGTAGATCTAGATTTAGATCTAATCCTCCAGCGTCTTTACGGCAATTTTTGTGCGGTTTATTGTCTTCGTGTTTTAAACCGTGTTTCAATTTCAAGCATCAGCGTTCTTAAACTTAATCTTACTGTTTTGAGCATCAACGATCTAGTTTCTAGATCTAGATCTAGGAAATCCGAAATGTTACCGAAAATACACCGTTCCTTGTGGGTATCCCAGGAAGTGATGACATCACAGTACTAAAATTAGCAGCCAATCAAAAAGATGCATCTTTTCTACATTTAACGGCATGTGGGGGAATCATGAATTCCTAATGTTGATATAGGCAAAGTCGGTCCGCTGGTCTGGTATTCTTCAATCTTACTGAAACTACAAAATCACCCCTAACCCTAACCCCGAAAAACGCAAATCGGAATTAAACATGGGAATCTTAACAATCGCCCTAGATATCTAGAATCTAGATCTATCTAGGTGCTCTTTGGAAATTGCCTGCCCGTTTCCATTGGCAGCCATTTTGAAAGGAAACGTGAAGATTGTAGGATATATGGGTTTAAAAAAAAAATTAAATTACTATTTTTGCCAGGGGGGCTGTGTCGGGGAGGGGGGCACAGCGGTCCGGGCGTTGAACGTCACTGATACAAACGCGTCACACAGTCTTTTTTTTTTACATAAGCTAGTATTGACATAGATACGAAATGAATTGAGCGTTGGTCTCTATGGAATCACAACACAACTTTTTGGCACACAATCGAGATTACACAGGTGTGCATTTGAACGAATTGGTCTTTTTTACACAGCTCATAATATGCAGGCATTTCAGGCACTACCTGTTACTTCTCTTTCCACATCATGTGCTCAGTGCCGGTAATAATCTACACAAAACCTCGTGTTTGCTATGAACACTCGGGTTCAACGAGGTTTTAGATCAGGCCCGGCGACCTCGTTGAATCCGAGCTCCTGTGTACAAATGTAAACATGGTGGAGTTCCATCTGCCGGTAGTTTCGTTCGTTCAAGTCCAAAGCTGAACGCCAGAGACCCTGAATTGCCAGGTAATCAATTGAGGAGTGAACTAAGCGTGAGACTCTAGAAGGAGACACTAAAGCCAGAAAATCAAAATTCAAGCAAAGAATGGCGTTTTTTCGTCAGTTCCCATCCCCCAATTATTATTCGCCGGTTTGGGCCCCAGGAGTCAAGAGTAGGGGGGGGGGGTTTT